TCTAGGTAACCTCGTACTTAACATTTGTAGGCCAGTTTGTATAAAGAACTTGAGTATAAAGTTATTATACATGTCAAAAGTGAAAAAAACAAAAAACAACCATCTCAAGGAAAGACAAAATTTATTCCTGGTCACATAATGTTATCCTTTACTGGACTCTTTAACACATAAAGGTCGCTTTAAAACAAACTTAGGGCTTCTTTTACGTTGAGACCTAAGGGTGCATTCTCTCTTCCTCATTCTGTGTATTCCCCAGCTCTGTGCCCTTCTAAGCATCCATGCTGATCTTCTCACTTGGGAGTGATGACTGTATAGAAGGTAACAAACAGATGATTCTCAAATGTCAGCTGCACAGGGCTTATAGCCTGCTCACTGTCACCGAGGGTTTAGGAAAGGATTCCAAGTATTTGCCCTTGTCTGAGAAATGAGGCCAAATTGATTTAAATTTTCATTTTCTTTAAAAACAGTCCTTTCAGACAATCACAGATTACTCGAGTTCTTGTGATGAGTCCTTCCCCATCCCTCTTCCCTTTATCAGACAGTTTAGAAGAAGTTTGGGTGGTAGAGGAATTTGGATTATTTATGAGCTTTTCTTAATTTTTTTAATTAAGTATAATTACAGATTAAAATAGAGGGTTAGCTAATTTTTCTTGAGAATCATAAATATATGTTTTGAAGGTCAGAGTACAAAGCATTTTTTAACCCTCATGAAAAGCTTAACCTCTTAAGATGTCTTTAAAGAGCTTACTTGTTCTTTTATTAAAAAAAAAAATACTAATCTTTACTATCCTATCAAACATTAACATTCTGTGATTCTGTGAAACTTATTAAAGTACTTAGTCACAGTGTTGTTTTGTACATATCCCCTGTACTGTTTATAGATGTAGGTGAAACCAAGGATTCACATTGATTGCCACCTTAGCACATCATTTATCCTTTTAAAATTGCAATAAAAATAATTTCTCACCTCCCAGATTGACTGCTATATTAATTCAGTAGTCTTTTTGGCATAAACACATGATATAACATGCAGAATTGTTGCTGACTCCAGCAGCTCTTGTTGTTGTAGAGTAGATCCCAAAAGCATTTCTTATATAATTCTCTGTATAGGGAAGAATACTTTCAAAAAATTGCATCATTTTAAATTTAAAGAAGTATTAGGAAAGCCATTTTTTTAAAACACTTAAGTTTTTTTTTTAACATTGAAAATTGTAAATATTTACCAATATTTAAATATTTAAAGTTTATTATGAGAAAAATTATTTAAGAATTATGATCCTTTGAGGTCAAATATTTATATAAACAGTAGTAAAAGAAGTGTAAATGCAGTATGAGGGTGCTTCAAAAANCAAATATTTATATAAACAGTAGTAAAAGAAGTGTAAATGCAGTATGAGGGTGCTTCAAAAAGTTCATGGAAAGATTCTTATCTTTTAGTTGTTTTTCCACAAACTTTTTGAAGTACCATTGTATAATTGCACAGAAAGATTTGCCATAATAAATAATATTAGCTGCTTTTTCTTTGTATAGTACAAAATAACTTTATAGTTATGTATTGCTCTGTTCTCTCCCTAGATGAACACATCAAACCTTTTATGCCAGAGAAAGCAAAAGAAATTATAATGTGTTTACAACAACCTGCAATCTTCTATAACATGGTTTTTGATTGGCCAGCAAGCCACTGGAATGCTAAATACCTTTCTAAGGTCCTTTATGGTAAGCAGATACGATTCAGAATGGGAATGAAGAGCACAGACACAGGTAGGACTATAAGTAATGATAACAATAATGTCTCTTTAATAGCATTCCCACCTTCTCAGCAGTGGTTTTTCTTATCTCTGGAGAATCCTTTATTTCTCATCCTCTTTTTGACCATTCATTGTACAGACAGGAAAATTTTTTGGAAAGTTTGGAAGAACAGTTTGGCCCAAGTTTTTTTGTTTTTTGTTTTCAGATGAAACAGTCTATCGTTTTGTGATATTGTGAAATATATAAAATCGTGAAATATATTAAATTTGGTCTTCATCCTGTCTCCTGGCATGCAACTCTTAAAATTCTTAGAATCTCCAAAGTGCTGTCTTTTCATGTGCTAATGAATTGATTGATGGTTGGCAGCCCCTAGGTAGCTTCAGGATGGGGGCTGGTCACAGGAAAGACCCAAGGCAGGACTTTCAGCCCCAGTCCCAACTTCAGGGGAGGGTAGAGAGCTGAAGGTTAAGTTGATCACCAGGGACCAATGGTTTAATCAATCATTTCTAAATAAA